ATTTTTTCAAGATACTCTTGTCGATGAATTGATTGATTCGATATACAGGCATACCAAATAAATATATATTTCGATTTCAAATTTGTAATGGATATAAAAAAAATGCAGAAGAAATCAAATTTTCGTTAAGGCATTAATAAATTTCATTAGATGAACGTTTTGATTCTAACGAGGGTCAAACGTCAATATTATTAAATATAAATATAATATGAGATTCGGCAACAACACGAACTCTAACAGCAACAACAACAGCATCAGCAACAGCATCAGCAACAACACCAACAACAACAATAACAATAATAATCGACGAATGCTGATGAAAAGAGCCGCGTACGCGGTTAAAAACGCAGTCGCGACATTGCGTGATAAACATTTGTGAATGGGTATCGGAATTGTGGAGAACCGGGGTCGGATGGACTGGGGCCGGGTCGTTGATATATATTTGTGGATGAGAAGAATGGCTTAGGGGGACGTTGCATAGAGTAAAACACTGTCCAAGACCCTGGCCGAAAATGAAATGACATGACGTGTTGTTATTAAGCCGAATCCGAATCCGAATCCAAAAACAGAAACAGAAATAGAAACAAAACCCAAAAGCCGAAATTGAAACAGAAAACAGGAAAACACAGAGCGCGATTTTTATGAATGAAATCACGTTCAGGGAGGGTTTCATTTGGTTTCGTTTGGTATGGTTTGGTTTGTTTTGTTTTCGATACGGCCACCTAGATCTGAAGCAGAGGCTGTGGGTGAATTTCGAAACTGGATAGCCACACCTTGACTTTGCAGGCGATGGCGTCGTCGGCGGCGGCATCAAGGCGATTAGCAAAAAGCGGTAAATGTTGTGTTAAACCTCAATTAAGCAACAGGGCCCCAAACCGAAGTCGAAAACAGGATGTTAACTTGGGCAATTTGAATTCGCTTTGACTGACGCCACACGCCAACCCAAAGTCTCCAAATTTACGGGCTCGGGGCTGCAGCAGCGTAGCAGCAGCAGCAGCGGCACAGATCGCCGCATTGCCGCTCGCGGCGTTGACAGAGCCTCTAAATGATCTTCAGCCTTGCTGGCAGCTCACGCAAAGCGGCAAAGTGGCAAAGCGGCATCAGCATCGGCGCCTATCAGGAGCAGGAGTCGCTGCCCAACCTTCGCCCCGCCCCGCCTTGCCTCTCCTCTCCTTGTCTCGCCTCGCCTCGCCTCTCATCTGCTGCTGCTCGCTCTGTCTGTTAAGTGCTTTTTAATTTGTTTGTGTTGGAGCGTTTCCCTTTGATTTCCTCTTCCTCTATCCCTTGCCCTTGCCCTTGCCCTTGCCCCTTACCCCATTCTCGATGGCCTCGCAGCATTGAGCTGGCTTTTATCGAGAATCAGGCGAGCTGAGTGCAGTTACGACACCTTCAAAGCCTATCCATGCCCATCCCACAGCCACTTAAGCGCATCCCCGAGGGGGTTATACCACCCTGCATCCTCCGCTCACCCCACGGCAAATTGTGGGTGGCTGTGCTGTGGAGTTGTTGGGTGGTTTTCATTTTCTCTGCGTCGTCTGAGTGTGGCAAAAACCTAATTAAAATAACTTGGTCAACAGTGTGAAAATTTACACGCAACTAACCAACCGAGCATCAATCCCTGCCTGCCATCATCACATTAATGGCCAGTTGTGCATTTCTGTAGCCGACTTTAATGAGTCGACGCAATCAGTGGCCAAACAGTCGCACATCCACCACCACCACCACCCGCACCCTCATGCCTTCGGCGCTCATGTGTCACTTTTAATGTCTTTTTAAATCATTTGAGCATGGTGCGAGTGTGAAAAATTTCTCACTTTTTTTTTGTTTTTAATTTTTAATGAACTACCATTGCGTCTGTGTTTTTTGTGTATTTGTCTCCTCGTTGTGGGCTGAGCAGTTATTAAGTGAGCAGCTCCAAAAGAAGATGAACTGTTTTGGATGTTGATGAGAGAGTCACACGACAAAATGGCGGCAGTGAAAGTTAAGCTTGGAATAAAAACAACAAGAAGAAACGCTTGCAAAGCGACGTATGTACATGTATACTATAACTATAACTATAAGTTATATTACATTTAATTTAATTCCAAATATTAAAGGCCACCAGCAAATAATATAATTATAATCAAGAAATTTTCTTTAATTTAAGATTGAACATTACTTTTTTGTATATGTTTGGCTTAAAATTACTAATGCAGTTTTGCGATTTTGCTTATAATCGATTTTAATTTAGTGGACTTTAAATAACTTATTTAATAATAATATCATTTTCTGATGTTTTTTAATGGATTTCAAATAATTCTCGAAGAGTTTACAGAATGTGCAACCTACTTGAACTAAAGTAAAATTGAACAATGAATCTTTTCGCTATATATTTTAAATCTATTCGGTAATTAATTCGATAATTCTTTTAACTTCGAAAGAATTATAATAGCCTCACTGTCTGATTTCGTAGACATCTTGTTCTTATTATTATATAATTTTATGTCAAATTGCTGGAATTATATATTATATTTGTAAGCTAAAAAAAGGACTGCCTCTATAGAATTGATGGATGATTTTTGTTTCTTGTTTGGTGACCTCTTTTTATAATTTATAAATGTGTTTTGCTGGCTCCATGTGAATTATCAATTGACATTGTAATACATATTTAAATTAATTTCTTTTATTTCAAAATTTTATTCAAAATGCAGAGTAATAAATGTCTCGAAGACGCGTAGCTCAACAACTCCACTCTGATACTTATTTTAAATTTATGATTAAGTACAAAGCAGCAGAGAGGTTTCTTGGACAAAGTTAAAAATTTCAAATAGCATCACAAAATTTGATATCAGAAAAAAATGTAATCCTTAATTTAAATTATAAATTTTACTTTATTTAAAGTTATTAGTGATGCTAGCTCGAACATTTTAGAACTATTGACACATAAATGTATGTCTTTTAATACCAAAATTTAAGCTTATATCAAATAGCAAAATGACCTAAAAAGTAATTAAAAAAGAAAACAAATTCATATTAAAAGAAAATACAATTTTTATTTTAAATGCAATACAACAAGGATAACTCAACAGACATTTCTGCACACATATACATATACATATACATATACATATAAAAATACGCATTTATATGCAAAGCAACAATAAATGTAATCCGCAACAGCAGCGTGAGCAGTAAAAACAACAACAACCACAACCACAACAACAATAGCAATTGTCAATTGCTGTCATTTGTAATGAAGCCATTTTTAAAAGTAACTACACACACTCACACACACACACAGAAAAACACATACAACAACTGCAGTTGCCTGAAGCGAAAACTCCATCATCAAAACAACAGCAGCAGCAGCAGCAGCAGCAATAACAACAACAGCAGCAACAAAATCAACAGCAACAGCAGCAGCAACAGCAGCAGCAGCAGCAGCAGTAGCAGCCTCCGCCCCGAGCGTCTGGCTCGGCACCAGTTAAGGGGGCTACCCACTGGGTAGGTGGAAACTCTACTCTCCCAGCTGGCTCCATCCTTTGCTACCATATTATGTAGCCAGAGTCATTCACTTGCACATTAGGCAGCAAATTGACATCGATACTAAGCAACTACTACAACTACAACTACAACTACAAACTACAAAATACAAATTACAACTACAACTACATACATACATACATGTGCATGTGTATGTGTTAATAGCGAGAGTGAGAGAGAATGGGAGGGGAATAGCATGCGAGCGAAAGAGAGAGAGCAAGAGAGAGGGCATCATTTAACTGCTGCCAATTTACTGTTTAAATGCCAAACAAAAAGTGTTAACAAGCGCAAAAATAACAAAAGACACCAACACACACACACACACAGACGCACACACGCACGGATAAAAGAGAGAGCCTGTCGTAAGAGTGTTAGAGCAGGCGCGCTATATGCTCACAAGTCTCTCAGTTGATGTGTGCTCCTGTGTGTGTGCGTGTGTGTGTGTGTCTGTTAACCAGTTTATTGGGGCGGAGCTTACAGATGCTGAATTGTACTTGCTTCTGCTGGTCACAATGGGGTTGCAGCATCCCAGCAACAGCAAGCTAAGTTTTGAGTGTTGGGTTCAGGCAGTTGCCATAAAAAGTTGCACATATAGTACATATATTTGATTGATATCCAGTTCTTATAGCAAACACATTGAGCGTGTGTAGCTTAAGTACAATTAGCAGCTAGCAGCAACAATAATGATTAACAACAGCGACCACATTCAAGTTGCCATAAACATTTTATGGCACATCAACTAACCGTTATGTGGACTGTCGCGTCGCGGCCATTGCCAAAGGTACTCAACTCACCACACTCGCACCACCATACCCAGCTGGGAGAGAGAGAAAGAGAGAGAGTGAGAGAGAGCGCTGGCGTTGATTGAAACCTAATGAATGTCAATTGCTGCCAATTACGACCAATAAATGTAGGCAATACTTGGCAACAACAACACAATAAGCGAAACTCACCACGACAGCGAGAGCAGAGCACGCGGCATGCGGATGTGTGTGCGTGTGTGAGCGGGACGACGACAGGTGCGCCGCTTAGCCCTCGACTGGTTTGTTTTTGTTTGTTTGCTGCCTGCTGCCTGCTGCTTGCTGTCCTCTCTCTCTCTCGCGCCCTCTCTTTCTATCCCTCTCCCCACGCTTTCAACTGTTTTTGTTTTGGCCGCTAACAGCCAGAAGCAGCACAAGCAGCACAAACAGCAGCAGCAGCAGTTGCCCGCTTTGGCTTAGCTCAGTTTCGGTTGAAAGCCAAAGGCGAGCGGTTGTCTTACGGCTTTTGTTGGACCCGTCTCGGCTCGTCTCGTCTCATCGCGTCTCATCGCGTCTGCTTTCGTCTTGTCGAATAAAAGCAACCGTTCATTTCAAGTACAACGAATAATAATAATAATAATAATCATAATAAGATATACGCAGAAAGACGCGCGAGTTCCAAAGCACAAATTGACACAAATTATTCGTGAAATTTTCCAACTATATTTTTTTTTGTTGTTGTTCTTGTTGTTGTTTGATTATTTTGATTTTGTGCCGTCGGCAAAGGGGCTTTGAAAGGCTTTGGCCGAGAGCTCAGTGCGCGAGATAGGCAAGTGGAGTGAAGAGAGGAGTCTGTGCCACCATATACATGACCACAATGCCACCGGAAATGTCCACAACTACGGCAGCCGTTGGGGACACACCGGGTACCCTTACGCCATCGCCATCATCCACGCAGACGCCACGTTCCCGTTTCATGATCACCGATATTTTGGCTGGCAGTGCTGCGGCTGCTGCGGCAGCTGCTGCCGCTGCCGCAGCGGCAATGGCCGCCGCCGCCGGACGGAGCTCGGCGAGTCCATCCGAAGATTGCTATGCACCGCCGCCGCCGCTGCAACACCATCAGCACCAGCAGCAACAGCAACAGACGCAGCAGCAGCAACAGCAACAGACACAGCAGCAGCAACACCAACAGCAGCAGCAGGCTGCTCTGCAGCATTATTTGGCACAGCAGCAGCAGCTGTTGCGCTTTGAGCGTGAACGGGAGAGGGAGCGCGAGCGAGAGAGGGAACGGGAGCAATACCATCATGTGGCGCCACTGCTTGCCCATTTTCCGCCCAGCCACTATGCGGTACTGCAGCAGCAACAGCAACAACAGCAGCAGCAGCAGCATCCACACGCCCATCTACATCGGTTTGGGCGGCAGGCCGGTCGCGAAGGATCGCCACCTCTGGCTAAGGATTGCCATGGAACAGCCCCATGGACTACGGTAAGCCAGGGGGAATTGTGTCGAGAAAAATCTGTATTAACAATAATCACGTTAACATTTAATGATTTGCTTTGAGCTAACAATAAAGTGAACAATCACAGTTTTTGACCTGAGGCATTTTTATAAGCGACAGATTATTATTAATTTATTTCGATTTCTCGATTATGTGTTTTGTGCCAGTCATAATTAGAACCATACAAATATTCATTTTATGTTTTATTTTAATCATATTGAGTGCTTCGTTTAACGGAATTAAAAATCAACAATGATAAGTTTTTGATGTTAGTGTGTCTTTAGCCAAGGAAGACTTGGATTGGTAGCTTGTACAGCTTGTATTCCAACCAATCTGATAACACCCATTACTATCATGTTAATAATACGACATATATAAATTAATCTTGCTAAAGTTTATGCAAGTTGTGGCATAGAAGATGTTGACTATTTCTATTTGTCTATATTATTCCGTAAAAATAGGTTTAAACTATTAATCGAATTTGTTTTTGTTTTGTCTAAGATATGGAATCATTCACGTGCTCGAATAAATTCACATATATTTCCTATTGCCATTTTTAATAAGCAAAATAAATTGCCTATCAAATATAATAAATATAAATAACTTTCTCATGGGTGCTACTTTCCATCTTCTTGTTAATATGATTTGGCTGTAGGCATTAATTTCTTTTGGTATTCTGGTATCTTGCAGTAACTAGGAATAGCTATTGATATTTTAAGATATTTTCTGGTGTATAGATAAACATAGAAGTTTATTTGAGGGCACCTTTGGACTTTCTGAGAGAAACTCGGACCAAGGATGTCAATGGGCAAGGTTTTAGCATTAAATTGATTTGTCTGATTGCCTATACACATATTTCAACTTATTTTGTATTTTTTTCCTTCGCTCCAATTGGCAGCAACTCCCACATTCGCAACATCCGCTTGCCCATCATCCGCATCCGCATCCGCATGCGCATCCGCATCATCACCAGCTGCAACTGGAGCGGGAACGCCTCGAGGCGTTGCATCGTCATGGCGCCAATGTGCCGCTTGGCACCGCTGCTACTGGCCACAACGAGAGCCAGGATGAGCGCTCGCGTTCGCCGCTTGTGCTGCATTCGCTGAGCGGCAACAGCAGCAGCAGCAACAACAACAACAACAACAATATAAGTGGGAGTAGCAACAGCAATGGCAACAACAACAACAACAACAATAACAACAACAGCAGCAGCAGCAATAATAACGGCAATACAAGCGGATTGCTGCTGGGCGGCACCGGGAGCAGCATCAGCGGGGATCAGGCGAGCACAATTGACGACAGCGACAGCGATGATTGCGGTAAGTTGAAGTTCTCAATGGAAGCAAAGAGAGAATCCAATTTCTCCCTTTTTCTTTCCATTCCACTCTCCGTCTTCCCAACTTAGAAGAAAAAATATACCTAAATTGAATATCAACCTAGCATTCAGAAATCTTTTTGCCTTATAAAAGATCAAAAATACTTTATATTTCTTAAGAGGCAATCTCTTAAAGAAATGGAGAAAAATTGTATAAACTTCAAATATTTAAAAATTTAGCTTGTAACTTAGAAATGACAGGCCTAGTTTTTAAAAAGCCAACAATAAGTTAACTCTTTAGTTGGATGAACGCCTTCGATAGTCTACCAAGATTTATATTGCTGAAGTCCAGCATTTATGTGGTATAAAATGTATTTAAAATCAAATATTTAATTTTGATCAATGCATGGTTTCGACTAAAACTAAATAAGTTCGTATAAAGAAATTATGGATTTAGATAAGTATATCAGTTCTTTAGCAATTCGTTCAGTTTTTAATGTTTATTTGTTTATTACTTGAATGAGTTCTAGCAAGCCTTGAGTAAGATTTTTCCTCGCCAATCTGGAAGTTTAGTTAGCATAGCCGTTCTAAGTCCACAACTATTCCATTCATAAAATTTATGTAATGAATACAAGGGTACTTATTGAGTGATAGCACTTTTTGATTGTAAGCTAAATTTTTGTTGTTGTTATGTTGAAATTTTGCTCCCACTTTCGGTTTAGCGCCTGTGCTAATTGTCATCACACGCAGTTAGGTTTTAATATAAAACCTACTGTATTACAATAACAACAAGAAATGTGGTTTGTGGCCAAAGCTGAAAATATAAAATAAATATAAAACATAACAAGAAAGCAAACCAAACGCTCATAGGAAAAGCCAGACATGTCGCAGCTAAACAGCGATAGTAGCAGCAACAAGAAGGGCAGCAGGCTCAGCCAGGTGAACAGTGACAGAAAGATAGACGGACAGACAGATAGATGCACTCAGAAAACTGAGTGAAGTTTGAGTGTTAAATATATATATATATATATATATATATATATCTATATATATATATATATATATATATCTATATATATATATATATACATGTACATACATACATTTTTATACCAATCTGAGGGTGGCAGCGAGTTAGCAACAAAGTACTACAAAGTGTTTATTAATTTGGCCATTTTTCGAGCATGTTTGCGACACAATTAGTAGCACGGCCAACATATCAGAGTTGTATGTATGTATGTATGTATGTATGTATGTATGTACATTGTTGCTATTTATATACGATGCGATATTAGTGGCTCAACTTGGTTCCCTTGACTAGAGAGAGATCGCCCCAAATAGACCGTGCCCTGCTTCCCCACCGATCCCCTTACCTTATCTACTGCCTAGTCACCCTGTCACCATGTGCCCCGCCCCATGTCAAATTTTCGCATGCAACAATTTAATTGATTATAATGACTTTTAATGCTGTGGTTGTTATTGTTATTGCTGCTACTATTAGCAGTGCTTCAATTTGAAGTTTTGTCTGTGGTTGTTGTTGCTGCTGCTGCTGCTGTATGATTTTTTTTTCCATTTCCATTTTCACTATTATTATTTATTTGTTAAGCGCTTTTAAACGTTATGCAAATTATGACAAATTACTATAAAATAGTCGAAACCCACGTTGGAAATTATTTCGCGATTGTTGTGAGTAGTGTGTGTTGTTGTAGCAGCCCACACCTTAAAGGTTGTTTCTCCAATCCCAGACAGCGAGAAAGAGCATGCGCCAGAGAATGAGAGCGAGAGCGAGAGAGAGAGAGAGAGAGAGAGAGAGAGAGAGAGAGAGAGAGCATAACCAACAGACAGTTAAATAGTCAGCGATTAAAACTGCGAGTGACAAGTGCTGGTAATATTATATTGCAATATAGTATAATTTACTTTAGTGTCCGGATACTTATCGGCATCGGCCAATTGAGAGCCCCAAATTCAATTTTGCCAGTATTTCATATGAATTTGTTTATGTAAGCAGCATTGAAGTTAAGTTCATGTCAAACATATCGTCAGATTTTTATTTAATTGTGTGGAGAATAAAAGAAAAAATGTATTTGAATATAATTATGCATAATAATTGAGAGGCAATCAATTGCAATTTTGTTTAAATACAAATATTAATTGTTTTTTAATTAAGTTGAAAGTTGCATGGATTTTAATTCCCTTAAGGTTTTTGTATTGGAGGCATTACGCAAATACTGTATTCATATGGTATTATTGTTTGTTTGAATATTCCACAAGACTTAAAAATTATAATGCTTGGACTTTAAGTGTTCTAATAACAATTTCTCTGGATGTATTACATGCTTTGTAGACTTATTTCTTCAACATTGTAGAAGAACTGAAAGCCGAAATTATTTATCCGTTTAGCGTAATACAGTAATAAACATTTTGTTGAGCAGTTTTACTTTAATTTATTTTATTTTTTTTCAAATATGCATTTATATAGAAAGTTGCATAGCCAATCTATAGATACGATAATCGTTAGAGTTTAAAGTTTAAAATAATTAAGAATTCGTTTCGATAAATTAAATTCTCAACAAATTTTGTGAATCCTCAGCAATTTCACGCACATTTCTAATTTCGTTAGACTTGTGCCAAAATCAATTAAAATTAATCAAAGCAACACACACACAACATATATACAAACATTTATAAATAAAATGTATGTATGTATATAATATATGTGTATTTATAAATAGACAGGGAGAGAGACAGGGGGAGAGAGAGAGAGAGAGAGAGAAATGCGCCCCGCGTTGCTGTCAATTCAACAAATTTTGTTTTGATTTGAGACACAAGCCAAATGAATGAAATTTAAAATCCATAAATGTGTTGGCCACAGCAACACCAATAATAACAACAGCACACATCATACAGCCCACACACACGCACACGCACACGCAGACACACACTCTTTTAATCAGCTGGGTATCGATTCTCTTTCACCATTGAGGCGAGATTTTAGCCCACGCTGCGAGCGTCGATTTCGAGGCAGTCAAAAAACAAAAAAGCCAAGAAGAAAAGAAAAACCAACGAAAGAAAAAAACTCAGATTATTTTTCCCTTTATTATATATATATATATTTTTAACGCTGCAAAAAAAAAAGAACGTAGCTTTTAACGGCTTAATCGAAGCCCAAAAGCAAGAATAAGAATGCGCTTCGTGTTGTTGTTGTTGTTCTTGTTGTTGTTATTGTTGTTCATAACTCAAATTTGTTGCTCATCTTTGGGCTTTGGTGACACTCGCGTGTCACTTGAGACGCGTGCGAGCGACAGTTGCCAGGATCGATCAGGATGCGATGAAGAAAGACGACAATGAGGACGACGACGAGGAGCGCCTCGAATCTCGCCGTCGCGCAGCGCGTTTGAAATTGAGCCTAAGCTTGATTCGAGTCGCTACTCAGCTGAGTCTACATCTGTCAAATGAACTGTGTGCTGATCCGCTACGACATGCAGACACTCGCTCACACTCACACTTCCCTCTCCTATCCTCGCCTTGCTTTGCCTTGCCTTGCCTCACCTCACATTCCACTTCGTTCGCTTCGTCTCTTTTTTTTTTTTTTTACCTGATTGAAATTAATATTTTGTTGCGTTTCGTTTCGTTTCTTAAACTTCAATGTGGCTTCCAAGCGAAGCGTGTGGGCCCTAAAATTAGCAGCAGCAGCAGCAACAACAACAATAATTAGAACTGCATGTACAAAGTGCAAAAAACACACACTCGCACACACACACATACATATTCTTAGCAACAAGTTCGTTGCCTAAGTCTTTCGTTTGCTTTTGCGATTTTTGTTGTTTTTCGGAAATGTAGCGCAAGAAGAGCGAAGAAGAAAATCCTAGACGTAATGCATTGTTATACATACTTATATGTTAATGCATACAGTCGCGTTACCGTTATGCAAGCATTATAGTAGCATTAACATTTTCGTTGCCGTTGTTGTTGCTGACTGCATTTAAGCGCGCACATTATCAAAATGCTGATAAACGTTTAGCAACAAAAAACTAAAGAAAGCTGAGCCAAAGCAATAATGTTGTTGTTGTTTTTGCTGTTGATGCAGCTGTTGTTGTTGTTATTGTTGTTGTTGTTACTTTAATTAAAATGCAAAAAGGCCAATTGTAAATGAGTTGCTGCCATGCGCAATTAAATGCAGACGAAGGCAACAGCAACATCAAGTGCAACTGCAGCAACAACAACAGAAACTTGGCCAACACAGTCAGTCAGTGAGGCAGTCAGTAAGACAGAAGGAAGTTGCCACCGACGTTGTTGTTGTTACTGTTGTTGTTGTTACTGTTGTTGTTGTCTGCACACTTAAGCATGTTTAATACAGTTTAGCCACAAGCACTTAATTACTAATGCAAAGAGTGCAGGGTACGTGCGAGGGCGGGGGAGAGGACTATGGGTATAGTTATGAGAGAGTTTGAGATATTGCGGAAATGTTTTGCTGGCTGACTTTTGACTAGCGCAAGTCGCAACAACAACAGCAACAACAACGGCAGCGACAGCGGCAGCAGCAGAGGGAACAGCTGTTGACTGGTTTTATATACCCTGTAGCAGCACATAGGTGTACGAAAGGTATATAAAATAACACTTAAAATATATATCAGATGTACTAAATATAGAAAGTATTTGATAACATGTATGATATTTGTACGAATTAAATGAAGTTAATTCAGTGAGACAACTGAATTTTATGAATTTTAATCAAATTTGTTCACAATAATAAATGCACCAATTTTTAAGTCGATTTTAGGTTAAATAAGTAATATTCAAGGAAAATTTTGACTTATATTTTACGTGAACCTCGGGTCGACTATTCTAATACAAAGTTTCTTCGAGTCGGGCCAAAACTCGACTGAAGAATATACTTGCCAATTCGGTTTTTATTTGTGACAACAGTCAACACAGATTGGCGTAGGGAGCGGTGAACGGACACGGACAGCAGACAGCGCCTGTGGCAAAGAGGATTGCATTGACGTGAAAAGATGCAGTTGATGGCAGCCGGTTTCGTTCAAATGGTCAAGTGTTTGTCTGGCCGATAATGGCAAAAGCAAATAGTAATAATGTCAAGAAAAACATTCTGGCACAGAGAGAGAGAGAGAGAGAGGGAGAGAGAGAGGGAGAGAGAGAGAGTGAGAGTCGTAGAGAGACTGAAAGAGAACGAGAGAGAGAGAGGGAGATAGAGAGGGAGAGAAACATGGGAGCCTCGTAAGATTTTGCATGAAGATATTTGTAATTTATTCAAAATGGCAGGCGAAAGGGGAACTGAACATGTGTAAAGAAGGATTGCTTTACAAGAATGAATGTAGGAATATACTAACTGTATGTAGACTAAACGATGCCCTGTAATCAGTAAAATATCCAAATGAAGAATATACAAAACAATTAATTACAATTCTATAAATAGTTAAATGATTAAAGTGATATTTATATCTACTTTAGTAATCCTATTAATCGATCGTTATATTTAAAATATTTATATGTATTTTAGCAATATTTTTAAAATGGTGACTCTAAATTTGATTACCTGGCAACATATCTAAGAAATACAAACAACGTTTTTTTAGATTCGATTCAAACATAATTAAAACTCAATAATTTATATTCAAATATATATCTATTTTTTTTTTAAATCTTTAACAAAACATCAGCTATAAATAGTTTTATGCGGTTGGCATATACATATGTATAAAGCTTACAACTTTTACATTGAAAATGCAGTTAATATATAAAGAAAGATGTTGGCTAAGATCGTTTTTGCCGTGTTGACAAACGGTTCATTCTTGGCTTAGTTTTCGTGAGTGGATCTCAAAGACTCGAATTAAATCATAAATTAGATACGAGTAGAATTTTGAGTAATTAAGTTTTGAGTAATTCGTTTTGCGATTTGTTGAGCTTCGCTTCACACGTTCCACACAAAAAACAATGCTAAGAGCTAAGTATGGCTGTTGTTGTTGTTGTAATTTGTGCTCATAAAGTGTTTAATTGCAAATTAGCAATGGCATGCCACCAGGCGAAATAACAAACTTGAAAGCAAGTTTGTTATTGTTCTTGTATTGTTGTTATCTCATGTTGCATGTGCTCATGCCATAAACTAAAATGCTCTAGAAATTTGGCGTGTGAGGGATTGCAAGAGAAATGATTGACTACTGAATTGAAATTGAAACATTGTTTTATATATTTTTAATTTGTTGCTTTTCTTGGCCCAACAGGTGGCAAGGACGATGACGGCGAGGACAGCCTAAAGAATGGCAACAGCGACTCCCATTTGAGTATGAGCCTGAGCAAGAAGCAGCGCAAGGCGCGCACCGCCTTCACGGATCATCAACTGCAGACCCTGGAAAAATCGTTTGAGCGGCAGAAATATCTGAGTGTTCAGGATCGCATGGAGCTGGCCAATAAACTGGAGCTGAGTGATTGCCAGGTGAAGACCTGGTACCAGAATCGCAGGTGAGTTGCGGTCTCTTTCAAGCGTGCCTAATTTACCACAAGCAGATGGGGTGGGGGGAATTGGTTGGAGATTAGTAGAACTGACTGTGTGTTGCTAATCAGCGCCTTTTATGGAACCGCCCATTTCTTCGCGCACTTTTCCAATAAAATTCGGTTTAATGGCCTATCTTCGCAAACGTTCCCTCCCGCCAATGGCCCAAAGACCGGTTCGGAATCAACGCTGGCGCGGTTTATGCGTTTTGTTTTTATGCTGATTGCTTAATTTGCTGCATTTTGCGCAAGAGTCGTAAAATGCTTTTGCTGTTTATTAAATGAGTTGTTTACTTTGTTTTTTTTTTTGGTTTTTTTCTTTTTTTTTTTGTGTGCGCACCACTCAAGTCGCAAGTTTGTTGCCTAAGTCTTTCGTATATCGTTTACTCGCCAGCTTCCTATCAGGGGCACTACTCGGCGTCATCCGCTATTCAATCGCTTCGATTTCTAATAGCATTTGCCGCGACCGCTGCTGTCGTAGCTGCTGCTGTTTAAAAATAGCTGACAAAGCCGCTGCCTTATTACGTTTAATAGCTTTTTATTTTATTTTCCCATTTTTTTTTTTAATTGTTGCCCAATGACTTGTCACATTTGGTCGGGCATTAAAAATAGCAACAGCAGCAGCAGCAGCACAAGCAGCAGCAACTCGACCAAGAAACTCAAGCAGCGACACAAACTCATTCCACAGAGTCGTCGGCATCTTCCAGGCCGCTCACTGGACCGGATATTGAGAACGGTTCGCATGTTGTAGTTGGTGCATAACGACTAGTGAATGCTCTGTTCTGCTCTGCTCAACTAATTTGTAGAACATTTTCTTTCATATTTAGAAATCATTTCTAAATTATAAATGTGAAATAACTTTCTAGTTTACAAGGCAATTTTCATTTTAGATTTTGTATAGTTAAGGCTGGTTTTTTTTTCTGAGTGTATGTTTATTCCACACGTCGTTTTGAGTCACGTTTAGAGTTAAATTTATGCCGACTATAAATTGAATATTTATGAAAATAAATTGAGAGAGAGTAGATTTGCTTTGAACTACATATTAACATAAACAACAAAGATTTGGTGTTTGCAAGTTGAAAACCCGCAAAGTAGATCCAAGTCAATATGATTAGTGGCCATAGAGTATTTTCATCAATTTTGAAAAATGTTCACAGCTGCATGCGATGAATGTGCGAAAATTGCAGCTCAGCTCCGATCGGGGTCGGGATCGTTGTAGGGATCGGGGTCGAGGTTTCGCATATTTCTTCTTTTTTTTTTTGGTTGTTGTTTTCTTTGGGATGTGGCTGGCGCCTAGATGCAATTAAAGGATTTGCCAAAGATACTCTCGCATCCATTGCACAGGCGTGCCTTTGCCAATTAGGCCGCAACCTGGACTCTCTCTTTTTCCGTTTGACTCCTACAGCGCTTTGGTGGGCGTGTGAGCGTTTGGGACTGCAAGATAAATGACAAAACAATTAAGTGCGAAATATAAACAGCAATAATAGCAAAGAGCGTCGAGCGGCAGTCGTCTCGGCTGCGCCACACAGCAGGCGGCCAGGACACGCGCAGTCAGCGGCATGAGTCGGCATATTTTGAGCAATGATTAATAGCGAACAATAGTTGGCAGCCATTGCGGATTAGTTTGGCTTAGATCAATTCCTCATAGTTCCTTATATTATTATTGTATTTTATTTCTTTTTTAGCATTCGTCGCGGTTTCTCACACGCAACTAATCGAGTGGCTTTTTTTTATTATTCATTTTCGTCCTTTTTGCGTGCACAGAACCAAATGGAAGCGCCAAACGGCTGTTGGCCTGGAGCTGCTTGCCGAGGCTGGCAACTATGCGGCGTTTCAGCGTCTGTACGGCAGTGCCACGCCCTACTTGAGCGCCTGGCCGTATGCGGCAGCCGCCGCTGCCCAATCGCCACACGGTGCACCTCCCTCGGCGATTGATATTTATTATCGGCAAGCGGCCGCAGCCGCCGCGTTGCAGAAGCCAGCGCTGCCAGCGAGCTATATGTACCCCAGCCGGATGCCGCCAGGCATGGGTCTGCCGGGCATGCCGCCACCGCCTGGTGGAGCGCCCATGCTGGGCGGCTATTATGCGCCACCGTCGCTGCCACCACGTGAACGCTCACCGGCGACCAGCCAGAGCGCCAACAGCGAAGCGGATTACGAGCGCAGCAGCAGCAGTCGACAGCGCTTGCAGACGCCAAGTCCGCCACTGAATCCAGGTAGTCCGCCGCCTAGACGGGAGCATGCGACAGAGGAGGCGACACCACATCAAGAACAACAACCACCACCATCACTGCCACTGACAGCAGTTGCGGCCAAAACGCTGGAACGCGGTGAGACTCCAACTGTCGGCGTGGAGGTGGACGAGGCTGAGGGTGAGGAGGAGGAGGATGTTGATGATGAGGATGATGAGGAGTTGGCGCTGGATGTATGAGCGCCTTGTGTGCGTTAAGCTGGATCTCAGACGGCGATTACGACGGGACAAAGTGTGTGGACAAAGTGACTGAACTGAGAAGATTTTGAGATGACTCTCCTGGCATCCAAGCACACATTTTTAGTTGCCCCACGTAAATGTCTCGCATTAAACAAATATACAATACATATGTATATCTTATATATATATATATATATATATATATATAAATATATATATATCTTTTTTTTCATAACTATAACTATTTAAAAATGTAGCTTAATGAATTTTTGTAAATTTTTGTAAATGTTTTTTTGTAAATAGTAAGCAGCTATTTTTTTTTCCGAATGAATTTTTTTTTTTTTATTTTTCGTCTTGAAAAAGTTTTTTGTGCCTAGTCTTAAGACGTCTATTGTGTGTGTTGTAATAAATAAAAGAGAACAATATGAACAAGAAAAAGAGCAATCGATAAAAAAAAATGTGCGAGATCTTTTGTTTTTGCAACTGTGTGTTGCCGAGGGGCTGTCGAGTGGTTGCGCGAGTGGCTTGCCAAGTGGTTTCTCATCCTCAAGTTGAGCGCTGAGCCTAATGCAAGCTGACACACGAGTCCTTGCTGCTGCCTGCCTGCCTGCCTGCTCCAGTATATCAATGGGCCACTTGAAGAACTGTTGCATTTTGGCCGCAACGTGCTTTAAACTGTGCCACTTACAAATTGTTAACATTTGCCAATCTCCAAACCAAACTTGAAGTTCTCAGCTCTTAACTCGGCCGGCAAAATTAAATCACACAAATCACACAATTCGCAGCTAAGACGGCGCTGTGAGCTCTTCGAGTGGCCGTCGCCGAAACGTTTCTAATTGACTTGCAACAACCCTCGCAAAAGGGTGATTACGGACTTTGCTTTGAATTTTTGGATTTGAATACGAAATACGAAATACGAATTACGGATACGGATACGGTGGCATCTACCCCGCTGTTTGTTTTGGCTGTTTACATGCCGCTTGCCATTTTTTCGCTACTTTTATGACAATCACAATTTGCATAGCCGCATGCTTCGGCTCTTAATTTATGGGGTTGCGGCTAAGCGAATGCAATTTGCGCTGCCTCTCAACGCGCTCAACCCCCAAACAGTTAGAGTCAATTCACAAACACACACGCACACACACACACACACACACACGCACTCATAACTTATAGCTCATGCCACTCAATCGACTGACTTTGGCTGCTGCGTGAAGTGGCAAACGCAACTTGGCAACTTTGCGACGTCCTCCAAAGCTGTTGTCAAGTGTGTTGTGTGAGAGAGGGTTCGATTTTTTGTGCGTAGAACTTACGAACTAGGTCTGTGATCCTTGGTCCTGGGAGTCGTTCAGTCGTTCGATGCATAACGCCTCTGTAACAAATTGATTATTTGTTGCGGTTTTTATTTTCTTGCCAGCGATTTGAATTTTTATGAGTGGCACTCATAAATTTATGAGTGCCGCACGACCGTGCGAAACTTTTCACAGACATTACAATTCGTTAGCCATCAGCTCGGATCACAAGCTGCAGCGCAGCTTAGCACCAGATCATTGAGAATACATGCGTAATATGTACATGCATGCAGCAGGCTCTGCCACTAATTAAGACAGTTAATGTGTTAGTTTAAAGGCTTGATTTATTATGGATGTATTTACGTACATTTCAAATGGCTAAATAGCCTGCAAATGAATCTGAAATGCCACTTCGTTAATTGTCAATAAACATATTAATTCTATTACTATCTATCACTGTCAATCTTTTCCATTGTGCTCACATGCAAGATGGGTAAATGTTACCAGTCAGATAAATACATTAATACAGCTCACTTCAAATGTATTAGAATGTCAATGTAAACAAGTTTTATTCATTCATTTTATTCATTTCTTTAAATATCGACTAATATCAGCCAACACAGAAAAATGCAAGAAGTAAAAATAAAATGTCGTATTTAACTTTTGACAGAATTATTCCTTTCCAACAGAATTATTCCTTTGCTCTTGCCAGATGAAAAGTTGTATAAAAAATAAGATCCATTTAACGGTGCCTATTTAGATAAATGGTTTACAAATGTTCCTCACATTGAATTGTCTTTCGCATAATCTTCTTCGTAGAATATTCTAAAAAGTATTTCAATAAGGCTTTGTGTGTTTAAGTAGACAATGAAAATGCACATTAAAAAAAAAAACAAACAATAATTTTGTGAATTTTTTGTACATTTTATCTCTCAATAAATTGTCGGTTGTCAATAATTTTGGACAGTGGTGCAGAGTATGTTATAGTCTAGCCTATATTGGACTTTACCATCAATATACATAAATCTGTCCCGTTTGAATTATTTCGAACAATAATACACCACGCACCAGCAATTGAAACTAAAAATGATCATAGCTAGGCATCGTTTTTTGTGCTGGAGACACAGTAATTGCCATCAAGTTGGAAACTTTGTGCATAATTTAGTTGTCATATCACAGTTCATTGAATATTTAGTTGGCATTAGCATAATGAATGGGCAAACGGCAGAGTCGAGTCGAGTTGTGATAGCTAAATAATTTCATTTGCTTGGGTTCCTCTCTGCACTGACTATGTAGTATATCTTCGCATAAAATTTGTGAGCCATTGTGGGCCATCTTGTGTCCAGAGACGACGGTGAATGCTGTGAACTTATTCTTTGTGTGCGTTCGAGCTGACAAAATGCTTTCACACCGGAAGCTGCTGCAATGCGTTCAGCGTCGTCGCATCTTTTCCTGGCTAATTGACAACTTTTGTTATGCTTCTCAGTTCCTGTGCGTTTTTTATGTTGCTGATGCTGATGCTGCTGCTGCTGCCGTTTCTTTGTCAAGCTAATTTGTCACAGGACACGAGCCGTCTAACAACTGCATACTAAGCACTAAAAAAGAAATGGGGGAAGGGAGGTGAATTGGGAGCGTTGCTGCTCCTGCTCCTGTTCCTGCTGCTTCTTTTCATTACACACACAATTTGTTGCGCACAATGGCGCAAGTTGTGGACGCTCCCGCTCCCGTTCCCGTTCCCGTTCCTGTTCCCGTTTCCGTTATCAATAAATTTGTGCTCGCTTAAATGCGTGTTTATCAAATTAGATGACACAACTGGCCAAAGGCATCCCTCAAGCCATCAATGGCCGGAAGGCAGCAACTCTCTCTGCTCCCATCTCGAACCCCACATTTCAACACTAACTGCAAGCGGAAGCCATGCGAAATTGATGTAGCTGAAGGTCAAGGGTTCATTTGCTGCGACGGGGGCTGCGGGGCGCTGCGACAAGGTTAACTTTGAATCAATATTGAGTCACAGTTGTAGCTGTGCCGCCTACTTCGCATACATACAGAAAAACATAGCTGCCTTTAAATTATTGTAAATGGCTTTGTGGCGCCAGCAGCTACAGAAATCGATTTGCCGGTGGCCCTCGTCGCCAGTTAAACGCTGCAAATTACTCAGACTGACTGCGTCTGCGGCTCACAGCAGCAACAGCAACAACGACGACAACAACAACAACAACAGTAACAGCAACAGCAACAATAACAGCAACAGCGGCTTTTGGCGGCTACTGGTTTTGAACCTGCGGCCCAATTTGCATGCGTTTGTTTACACGGCAAAAAAAGAAAAAAGCTTGGATTAATTTGTAACAGCTTTTGGTGTGTACATAAAACGATACAAAGCGCAAAATAAAAATTAAAAATTGAGAACAAAAGTGAAAACATGAGACTATAATTATTCGTGATTTACCAACCGAAAGCATCTCTCTCTTATCAATTTTGAAAAATTGCAAAGTGTATCTAAGATCGTTCGCTTGCTAGGTGAGACATTGAGTTACTGAAAGGACTAAACTTCTTCTTAAAAAAGCCCAAATAACTTGAAGTGAGCGAGAGAGAGAGAGAGAGAGAGAGAAACAGAGACAGATAGCGTAAGAGCAATTAACATTCAGGTCCATGAGCACATTAAGGAATTGCTTGCGGCAAATAACAAAGAGATATGAAATTGTGAGTGCAATGTTTTTATTACAATTTTATTATAATTCTTGAATAAAAAGACAATAAAAAAACAAATAAGTAAATATGTAAAAGAAAAATCCCAATTGTTTTATTTTAGTAATTTTTTTTTTTAGCTTTTAACGATTTCATAAATGTCTGTTCAATGTAATGTAAATGATATTTAAATTTTATCGAATTGTATAACATAAATGAGATAAAATAAATGTATACTCTTATGTATATTGTTGTATAATATATTTAATTAAATAAATATTTTTGTTGCTGTGCAGCTTGGGATGCAGAGCGAAAGAAATTCAGTTTCGGCATCATCATCATCATCGATTTGCAATTCGCCTCGCAATTGCATTTGCGGTTTACCAATTTTCAATCAATTCTAACTGTGCAGCGCAATCAGAGCCCCAATGCTTGAGTTCATCTGCCATACGGCATATATAGTGTATGGCATATAGTGTATGCCATATGGCATTTGGTGGAGTCGTTGGCCCAGGCACACGCCAATGCCAAAGGTTCTCATCGAGGCTGGGTAAGCCGATACTCTTTGGTTTTCAGGGGCGCCAGGGCCAAGTGCCGTTAGTCAAGTGTCTCTTCGTGCGTGTATATGTGTGTGTGTGTGTGTGTGTGTGTATGTGTATGTGTGTGTGAGAGTGTGTGTGGTCTACCCCCTTGGGTAGTGAGTGTGCCGTTGTGTTGAGAGCGCCAAAAGTCAAGCCTTTTGTTTGTTGCGGCACGTGGCAAGACTTTTGTAACGGACTGTGACTGTGACTGTGACTATGATGGCAAATGCGACAACTGGCAACTGTCGACGGGCAACTGGCGACTCGGCAACTGAAGTGTGACTAAACTGCGCCTACGGCTACATGACTTACCAATCGAGGGCTGTCAAGGGTTCCATCAGACCAGGTTCCCCTCAACGCCGTGTTGTCCGCGTGTGCAAATGGACCGCAAGCTGTGCGAGGTGCCAGCGGCACATTCACTACTCCGACGAGTGCAACTATAGCTTGTGCCCAAAATCCAGCAAGGCAAGGCATTTGTGCACTCGTTAATGGCCAAACAAAAGGCCCAGGACAAAAATAAAACAAACAGTTGCACATGGGATCCAATTACTCGAGCTTCAAGTCGCCTCCGACTTCGGTTCGGTCGACTCTCGAGCT